CCCCCCCCCCCCCCCCCCCGTCCCCCGTCCCCGCCTGTACCGAAACGGAGCTAACTCAAACTCTTCTCGACTTAGAGCTCTATATGATACCCTCCATATTTTCTCATTTTTTCCAGTCTAAATCAATAAAAGACATTGGGATGAGTCGGAATATTTATTCACCGATGAACCAAAGCGCATTCACCATGAGCGTACTGTATGCCAGATATTACAAGTTCGAATCCAGCAGTATTCAAAACCAGTATGACTCAAGTCCAGTAACTGACACGTTCAAAACGATGTAATACTTTTGTAAGTCGGAACGATGAAAAAAAAAGTTAAGTATAAGCTCATGGAAAAGAGCTTTTCTATGAGCTGCTCCCCTCAACCAAGGGCCACCTTCACAACGAGGGGGTCTTAACTGTAGTAGACCGGATTGGATTACTTCCTCATTCCTCCTGAAGGATTTGTGGAAAATGCCTTAAGGAACTGACGATAGTGTGCGAAACTTGAGGAGAAAAGGACCTTAACATGATGCGTCAGTACCAAGTAATAGCTGAACGAAACTTGGACCATGTCTAGGAAGTCTTCCTACAGGAACAGGTACATGAAGCAACGTGGTGAGATATTTGAGTCATTGTTACAATTTGTTAGAGTATCGTGGTCCCTTTATCTATTTTGCCTGAACTCCGCTCTGACAGCTCCACTCACTGTAGGAGACTTGCCTTCCGGGCGGCAGCGGCCACGTGGCATGGGAAGCAGCAAATGGCTAACCAAGCAGGAGATATGGCAAAGTTTGACGCAACATTAACAAGCGAGAAAACAACGAAAACACAGCCATCTGGGAGTGCTCCCGTGCAACTTTCTTCCTCGGGAGTAATAAGAGTGTCCAGCTTTCCAGGCTCCAGGGTTTTCGCTCGCTGGTCTCCTTCTTGGAAAGCTGACCCGCAGATTTACTACTGAAACCTCCTAAGTAACACTGAGCCTATCGTGGCATCCCCTTCTATTTAAGCTATTTTGGGTACACCCTCTAGAACCACAAAAACTGAAAAAATGATTTTGAAAACTAATTGCTTTTGAAGAGCTGTCCAAAACGATGAGACGTCGAGGTTCAGAGTCATAGTTTCGATCATTTTTTGCTCTCATAAAAGTTATGCGTAAGCCTTCGTGATGGTCCAATTTTCAAAAACATACCATTGAACAGTTTCAAAGTAAATATTTGTTAAATGGAAAAAACCCGTTGATGATTACAACTCACCGTCACTGTCCTGAGTCATTTTACCCGCTCGGCTTAGGGTGACCACTGAAAGGACGAGTTTTGATCAAGAGGAACTCATCAAGAGAATTTTCGTTTACAAAGTAATATTTTCGTGAAAGATTGGGGAGAAACTATCAATAAAAGAATGGCAGAGTACGAAATTTCGCGAAGAACTGATTACCGCCTTATCAGCTAACTGATGAAGCGGCATAGGCATCTTGCAATAGTTCCTACATGCCCTCCACTAGTATCTTTTTCAGAAGGATGGCAATTAATTCAATTGAAAAGGCTACAGTCAACCAAAATTTCCACGAAATGCAAAAAATGTGTGTTGAATCGATGGAAGATAGTGATGAAAACACATAGAATGCCTAGCATCAACAAGAAAAAGCGACCAAGTTTACTCTGGCTGATATGGCTCCGTAGTACTTCGTTAAACCTGTGCCCACATAAGCCCATGTCAGAAAATCCCAATCACTCCAGCGAATTCCATGAAATTCATTGCACTGGAGGTTACAGGGTGTTAACAGCACCTCTTACAACTCTTACACCCTCTAATTCACCCTCTTACGCCCTGTACGCTGATCTTATTGCCCTAGTGGAGACAGAGATGGTTGAAGGTTTATGAGGATGGAATGAAGGGCACATTAGCTTCAGATGCCGGTCCTGTCAGATAAGAACCGCCAGCACTGTCGCATACGCGTTGCGATAAATATTGGCAGGTGTTCTACATCTTTAGAAAACTGATAGAGCGATTAGAGCCATCAATGCGTAACTTACTAGACTATTACTTGAAGTTTACCCATGCTGTGGGGTTATTGCGCTCTAGGGAGGAAGGCAGTCTGCTCCTGATCATATCATAGAAATTGTCGATGACAGTCTGAGCTTGAAGCTATAAAAATGAAGCCAGGGCTAGGAAGAAGCTGAAACCGTCCCACACTGGAAAAAGAGAGTTATCAGAACGAAGCGGAGCAGTAGAAGAAGAAGCTTAGGCGAGGGAGGTGTGCAGGGAGCTGTCCGGAGCGCTACAGCCTTCACCCCAAAGTTCTTATCAGAGAGCAGAGAGATGTGACGTGGCCGGCCGCCACAAAGCATAGCCACGAAAAACCATTTCTTGATCGTTTGTCTCAGGGATGACGACGAAATATGCTTTCATGCAGATGGCGAATTTTACGAAAATATGACAGGACGTCCGTACAATCGGAGAAACTTGGTTATATTACAGTTTATTGCCAAAGTTGTCAATATGTAAAAGACCAAATCCATCTAAACAAATGACATTCCATTTGTACTATTCTATGTGCATTTTTATTAGCCGTTAAACCATGCCGCATTGATTTGAACTTTTGCTTTCTGGTTCATACAGCCATTAGCCAACAGCTACAACGTGTTGTCGCCTTCCAGAAGCACCAAAAGAACCAACGTGGTGGACATCTTTAACTCTTCCCGCGTTTCTAGAAGTCCATGGCGGCTTCGTACTTGCATTCTTCAGGACTCGACCCTACAGGCTTCAACATATTCACCGACAGTCACTCTTTCTCGGTACTTAACAGTACTTACTGCTTGCATACAATTTGCTTAGTCAGCAGCAGAGGTAATGGAATACAAAGCTGAGTGCAGGGCCACAAGCTATCTATATCTGTTACCAACAGCCAACTTCGGGAAAGACTGAAAGCGCTTCATCTCAAAACACAACAAAGTAAAGACAGACCCTAATGCAAGTGCTTTCAAATATTGAACATTGAGCTCACTTTCGATAACTTCGGGTTGAAAGTGAGGTGAAAGTGTAAGAAGGACTAGCTAATAATTGCACTCCATATCTATGGAGTAGGTGCCTGTCACTAACGGTAGACTTAGCAGGTAACAAGCCGGACAAATTCCAACTGACCTAAGGTTGGTACATAAGTAGAAGGTAGCGTCTTCAGGGATAGACAATCAAGATTTTTGAGGTATTCGGTTTCTACTCAGATTTGGAGTGGTTTATCGTATATGGCGTACACAATGACTTGCGGTGGCTGGCCAGCCAATGTACAAGTCAGTGCTTTTACCTCCCAGATGTGTCTGGCACTAACCAAGCAACGCAGAAGGGGTGGAAGGCTTGGTTTGCCTGGGCCAGTACCGATCTAGGATCATCAGAAGTCTTCAAACTGCTTTCTCAAGTCGGAGGGACTTTGTAGGTTTGCCGGCTATCACTCAAGACTGTTCTTCTTAGATGGCGCTTTCCATCATGAAAGAATTCGGCAGAGCAGTGTTGAGCGTGGGAATGGAGAGATGAAACAGTAACTTTTCACTATCTGTCTGCTGCGTACATACGGTTTTGCTTTCCTTTCAGCAATTATGTCTCATTGCATTGAGAGGGTGTCATCCCAGTATTCCGATGTCTAGATGTGTGCAGGAGTTTAACAAAGGAAATGGTTTATTCCCATTCATTGCGCTCACGGAATGTTCTCCACTCATTTGTCTTCCAAAACCAATTTCTTGTTGAACAAGTAAGACAGTGGTTGAAGTCCGACATACCTGTATGGTAACTTAGAATGACTGTAAGCTATGCCTGGAAAGGCTTCCCATTCTCTCAGGAATGGCTCTTCGATGCCGAACGTACTCTAAAGGAATGAAATATGTTAAAGTGGGTACTGGGAGGACCGACTGGTAATCCGAGTACCTCTACAATTTCCAGTGAAGGTCGGTTCCGAGACCTTTAGCATGTCGGTTTTTCTACAAGAAGGGCTTCTTTCTTCTTTTATCCTCTGGTGAAGCAACGACGAAGGTGGTGTTTGGGCCTGAGGACTACCTAACCATTTCCTCGACTTCACTATGGGTCTGTTACGGCTGTTGATTCAACCGATCCGAAATGGCCGGTTGCTGCTTCCTGTAGAAGGGAACGGTAAAATTGCTTCAGTACAAGATAAGGTCCCTGATATGGAGTGGCCTCGATGAAATGGTTCTTACCAGCCTGGTTGTTTTCTCGAGAGATGGGATAAAGGACAACCTAGTCCTTCTGTATGTGGCAATGCAAGGGAGAATAAATGAAGAAGGGTCACTGTGCAGACGGGCACCATGCTATTCACTGTACCATCGCAGTGAAGAAAGGCCGATACCAGACCTCGCGGCAGCCACTCGGTCCCATTTTGCCGTCTGGCTTCTTTACGGAGACAATCTGCCGAAATCCGCGGGCTGCAACCCTCGGCGTGGTATCGCCCGCCACATTCGCGCCATCAGTGAGTTCCACCATTCAAATTCTGAGGGCCGTTCTGAAGACCCTGAGAGGGAGAGGGGTAGGGAACCCATTGGCTGGCGCGCCGGCGATTCACTACTGCGCAAGGCTAGAGCGCAGACGAGTAGAGGGCAAAGGGAGGCCTCAGAGCGTAGGAGGATGAAGAGGGAAATATCCACATGGCAAAGGGTCGATTGGTCAATATCAGGTGGTCCCAGAACGATTTCCCTCGCGGTTGATACAGTAAATTGGGAATGTTCCGGAATGGTCAGTGTGAGATTTCTCGACGTGCCGACATGCCGTTTTCTCTTCGAGGGTGGTTGGGACGTTGTTTTCCCTGGTCATTTGGTATTTCTCATCTCCTGGGAAGTCATTCGGCTGGATGTACTGGTGTGGATCCTCAAGTAAGTTCCTTTTTTATAAATAAACTATTACTTTGTTACAGGTATAAATTTCAGAAATGGACGGCGACCACTCCTACCGCAGCGAGTTCACTCCTGCCGGCCCAAGCATTTTTTGGAGAAAACAGAAGTTTGCGAAGATGTTATTCGAAGGTGATGGTTACCAGTTGGTCAGTGCATTAGTACGCTTCACAGTTATGGCCTGTTCTATTTTCAGCAACTTCTTATTGTTTTAAAGATTTCTTAGGTATCTCCCCATCGAAGCAGATCATTTTGCAAGCTTTTTTCCATGTCGCTCGATTTTCGAAAAAAAACACGGATATTAGGTGATACTTACACCTACCAATACTCACTGTTTACTGGTTTTCTACAACTCTTCGACACATTTTCTGGTTACTACTCCCAGCCTACAGGTCTGCCCGAGCCTGCTGCGATCGGCTATAGCTTGTCCTGGTTTCATAGCTCCCTGACCGCGGGTGTAAAAGGACGTATCCCCCTGCATGTAGACTAGAACAGTACCCTTGGTAAGTTGATGTGTGTAAATGTTGGAAGATAGTCCACTCTGAAGTTCATTTCGTTTTAAGCGCATCACTTTTGCAATGGACCCATGCTCCAAAAATCTCCACTCATTCAGATATCTCTTCACTGGACGGGGAGTTCGGGACAAGCTTGGCATGCTACATAACATGATTGTACAAATTTACGTAGAGTTCCAGAGCTTTCAGTATTTCCTCTTTGATCTTTGCTGCCACCGCGTTTCGACTATCCGTTCCACATGTATAGTTGGAACACCTACTATGGCAATAGATGGCTTCGAAAGCCAAACCCTAAAAAATTTTTCGAGAAATGGCACCTGGGCTGTCCTTCTCTACACTCTGAAACTACGGTAGACGCAAAAATGCTCATGAATTCTGGTACAAAGTTCAGATAGTTTATCTCCACATGGTACAGGGATGTTCAGCCAGCCAGTTGTCGCTAGCCAAGTGTCACCAGATCGCATTCAGTGGCTGTCGCTAGCTTAGGTTCACAAGCGACCAACTTTCACCATGCTCCACTCGGCGTAAGCAGATGCGCGAGATTGAAGTGTCACCAGAAGTGCCATGTTTGAAAAGGGCGCTGTATGCTGCAGTATGCGGTAAGGCCCACTCTCTGCTGACTATAGCCTTCGCACCACAGCCCTTGCAGCCACAAATCTTTTTTCATCATTTAAAGCTTAGGCCATGGAGAGCTTTCTTTTGTTATTTTCTCATTAAACTATATTGACCAACCAAATGAAAATTCGAGCTCCCTGCAATTTTCAGTGAAGCGGGACTGAAACCTTCAAAATGTAGACCCTCTCTAAACCTATGCTCTTTTCCTTCCCTCCTTTTTTTCGATAGCACCAAAAAAATTTTCGTTTGACGAATCTTCCTTTTTCATTTTTTTGCATTTATTGGTCCTTTCCTCGATTTATTCTTGGAACCACACTTCAATGTGTTGGGAGAGGCGCTACAACAACATACAAAATGGCCGGTCCCTTTTGTTTCATCCTGTACGAGTGAAGCGGTGATATCACCTAGTCAGAAACAAGCCTTGGGCAAGTAACAACCCCGGATGACGTGGGGTCAGCTCGATGGTCTCTTGGTTGCTTTACCGAAGGAAAGGGTCCTGGTAGGGATAGTCTGTCTTCATTTCGGTACCTGACACCGTAAGATAGAGCAGAATTTTGGAAACATCACGAAAATCTCGTCTGATACACGTACGCAGGCACATTTTGGGGCTATTCATTCCCCACTGGCTTCCATTTTGCTATTGGGCACCCACACTAGGGCATTCTGTCGATGCCCGCCGGTTGCCGCTCTGTCGACGTGATACCGCTTTTACCGTGCCGCATACCTGCCATCAGCGAGTCCCACTATTTATTTTGAGGGCCGTATTTGAACCCTTAGGGTCAGGAAGAGGGATCTCACCAGCGACGCGGAAGACCCCGGTTGCGCAGGGTCAGAGCACAGACGACCAGAGGGTTAGGGGAGGCGTCACAGTGTGGTAGGATGAGGAGGCCAGTGATCATTGACCAGTCAATAACCGGTGGTCCTGGAACGATTTCCCTTGTAGTTGTTACTGTGAATTGGGAATGTTCTGGAATAGCCAGTGTGTTATTGTTCGCAGTGGCGATGTGCCGTATCCTCTTCGAGGGTAGTTGGGACGCTGTTTTCTCTTTTTTTTAACTGTGGCCTAGGTGTTTTTCATCTCTTGGGTGTTCATTTAGCTTGATGTAATAGCGTGAAACTCTGTTAAGATTTTTTAGTGACTTTTATTATTATTTTTTTATTATTTTCCATTTTTTTATTTTTTTTACAGGCTGGTATTCCGGAGACGGTAGCTTGACTTCTTCCATACAAGTATGTCACGAAGGAAGCAGACATCTGCAAAGTGTGTTAAAGGTGATAATTCACAATTTGTCACTTAGGGGGTCAGGTCCATTAGTTTTATTGTTTTAAGGGATTACTAGTTATTCTCTNGTCGTTACATCTCATCGCTTTACAAACCTTCCAGTCTTCCCTAGGTGTGATTTCGATTTCAAGCCACTCAAATTTCTGGGCTTTCATGCTGGCTAATGGCTTGACCAGGTTTAGGAGCGCCTATATCCCCGAAGCCGTGGATGGGCACCCTCCCGATGCAACAAGTCGTGGGTTAGGACCATGAACGCTTGATAAATTGATGAAAATAGTGGAAAGGTTTTTTTCTGATTTCTGGTTTTTTTGTGGCAATAGGTACATTACTACTGGAGTGGTCTAGAAGCCTCCACTCCTGCAGATATGTCATCACTAGACGTGAACTACGGTCAGTCTGAGCATGCTATGGAGCAAGAAATTCAGAGCTTGCAAGTTTTCCTTTTTGTTCCTGGCTATCTTCCCAATTTGACGACCCTTTCTCCAATTACGGGTAAAACACGTGGTATGGCAGTTGGTAGTCTCTGAAAGCCAAACAATCTGAACCCTTTTGAGACCTAGCACCTCACCGAGACTTCTGATGCTCAGCTGGGTGTTCCTGCCGGCAAAGTGTTGCCAGATGGTACCCAGTTCCTGTCACAAGCATGGGTTCACAAGTGTACGTCTTACTGAAGAAACTTGTCCAGGTGCCACCGACCTGTGACAGACGAAGGTGCCACTCGACTTTCATCAAAAAATTTTCATTCATCGGGGATACTCTAAATATTTTGTCTGGGTGGATAGCTAGGAAGTAACATCAACTGGGAAGGCTCTCCTTTCAGTTGGAAAGATCAACACGGGGCAGTCGCCAAGGATTTTTGCTGCACCCGGCGGTAGGAACTGCGTGAATGCGCCAAGTATATACTATGCGTCAGACACGGATCTGAGCTGTTTGAAACCCATCTTTTTCACCTTGGAAAGTTCCAGAAAATCGAACAAACCCCTCACTCGCTAAACGAGTTGTTGCTTAAATGAAAGTTTTTAATTTTTCTGAAGTTGAACAAGAATAATCGATTTCAGGCAGTACAATGCTGGCTGTGTGCAAAGGGACGTCGTGGGCCTTATCCGAGTGGAGCTCTCATCGAGGCAGAAGTGGAAACTGTTGTTTTGTCAACTTGGACGTCCTTGAGCGATATCGATTGAAATTGATCGTTTTCTTCTGGTGTCGGCCCGGCGCGTAAGTCTTTCATTCGAATTAAAATCTTACCTCGCACATTTTTATTGCGATAGTGCATTTACAATCACAAATTGAGAAACGGTAAGTTCTTTGAGTAGCTTTTTGTTTATATTGGCTCTTATTTTTTGATTTTTTTTTATCTTTTTGTTTTTTTTTTTTTTTTGATTGAAACAGTTGGTAATCAGATAATTTAGTCTTTTTTCTCTTTTTTCAGCTCCCACCAATACAGAGACAGTGACATGCCATTGCTTTATAAATGTACACACACTACAATTTAAATTTACTCACACAGATACAAACCCTTCTAAAATGGGCAACCGCCTCCCACCTCACGACTTCCCCTAACCCGCCAACTCATGGGAATTCTCAGGGGGAACTCCCGCCTCAACTTGATCATCGCTCAGCGATGTGCTAACAAGTTTTGCGGGTAGTCATACTTGGCAATTACTGTAAAACCATTATGTAGTAATCCGCTCTTCCAGAACGACATCCGCTCTTCCGGAACGCTTATGAAAATAGTGAACTTTTGAGCGTGGCCCCCGTGTCCAGCGAGGCATTTGTTGTCTTGTTCGCCTTAGCATCTGAAGGGAACGAAAGCAACACCTGTGCGCTTTTTGCCGCACAATATGTCAAACGCACCGGAAGCGCTGGTTTGGGGGTTTTTCGCCCGTTTCCCGCGCTTGGCCATAGGTCGGTACGCGCCACCACGGCTGCCGCGCGCGGCGGCCTCGGTTTGCGATACCCTAAACTGTAGTCTAATCCACGTTTATAGTTCGCGGGTCAGAATGGCATATGTTCTTAACCCTTCTCTCCAATTCCTAGGCGTTTTGCGTAACAACATGCGCTCTATCAGGTGTGTAATCTTTTAAATAGAGACCCTCTTTTTGGGGGTTTTCCTTTGAATTTGAAACTAGGCGGGAGAACAAAGACGAACCGTAAGTAGTAGTGCCATAAGGGTGGGAAAGATGGTCCCTGGAAGATCTTTTCTTTAGGGTGGGTTGTAAGCGTTCAATCATGCAGGCTGACTTATTCACATCCGGTCAGCTCCAATTGCTTGTTGACGGACTCGCATTTCCGGTGTTTTCGTGTTTGTAAACATCCTCAGTGAAGAGATTCACTGTCCCTATTGATGCCTTTTAAAACGGCTAAATGGCTAGCTCAGGTAAAGGCTAAAAAGCTGAATGATCCATTTTCATTCATACCTGAAGTCGGCTGTAGATCGTCGCTTGTGTCAAGGGTTCGTTAAGTTCAATGACAATTCTATTTTAAGAGCTAACAGGTCAGGAATTTTGCTGAAAACGGGCACGAGGTAGGGTTCCGTCTGGTCAATGGTTTACACTTGAAAACTTACACTTTTCCGCTCTCCTGGATGAGTCAGACTTC